ACTCCCTCCGTCTCATAACATAAGATTACACTATATTAGAGTTGTCCGACAATAAAAGATCGTTTTTTACACTAGTATATATTATGGGACGGAGGGAGTAGAAAGTATGCTAGAGATGAAAGAAAATTCTTTCTAGATAATATGCTAGAGAATTAACTTGGAAAATTGGGAGTAGCCTCGCACATCCTTTTCCAAAAAAAATATGCAGACTTTGGGCACGAGATATATTAACCGAGACGTAAACTGAAGTTGCACGTCCATGCATGTATCACAAAGCTTAGTTTCACACAGCTAGCCTTCAAACATAATTACCCATGCACGTCAACATAAATCAACGATGACAAAGAAAGCGAGATTCAGCGGTGAAGGTGATGCATCTCAGAGAGAGAAGTACAAGAGCAGTATGTATCTTGAGAGAGATTACACACCAAGAAAATCATAGGACATGTATTGAATCTCCAGTAGAAAACATGTTCAGATATAAACGGTGTCGTCAATTAGCACCATCTGCGGTGATTAGCCCATTATTAACAGCAAGCAGGCCGGATATATATACCGGTGCTGAATGGGCCGACGGTAGCCAGCTTGGACAGGCCGTAGAGGGCCAGCTTGCTCTCGGTCGCGGTTGTGTCAGGCAATGTCTTGGCCTTCTGTCTGTACTGGTGAAACACGTACGTCATGAAGAACCAGTCAGCAATTAGCAATTAGCATCTTGTTGAGTTGCTCTTTTTTTATGTATAGCTTCACCTGTTGTTAACATCAACCACGTCTGCCGCCACCAACTATCATGACTATTTGGCAAAGGACCTCAAGTTGTCCATTTAACAACAATTTCAGTGGTGAGTGATGACAGATATTACAATACGTAGACTAGGATGGTACCATTTCATACCAAAGATGCTTCCCACTGCCTTCCTTGAGTTGCTCGCTTGTGTTGTTCGCCAAAGTTTAGATTAAGAATTCTCAAGAGTTGGTAAGAGCAATTATTTGCTTGGTAAGAGAAGCAAGAGCGTTTCACAACTAGCCAGAAGGTGTGTGTGCAAGTCTAAAGAGCATGAGGATTGCCAGAGGTTCCAAACAGCGCTACTAGCGTTCCCCAAATCTTGCCAGATCTACGCCGATTACAAGACAGGTTTGTTGCCCTTAATTTGGTTATGCTCCTAGTTTTCTTGTCAGTATCTTGTACTGCTAGAACTATTACCCTAACTAGGTTGATGCAAAATTAAGTAGTTTTGCTTTCCATTACAGTGAACTATTGTTTGGCTCTGCAAAAAACACAACAAAGGGCATCTCAAAATTGAAGATTAAATCCAGCCACTCCTCGTCAACAACAAGCTACCGCACTCTCAGCCATTCAGCTTCAGTTACAACAAGACCAACGTAGCATTTGTTCTTTCCTACGAGGATCCATGAAACCATTCTGACGGTATCAGATTCAGAACTGCACAAGGAGGTCACCAGTATCGACTCAATCTAGGCAGGTTCGTCGTCCTTCCCTTGTTTTCTCGCTACCTTAGATTGTACTTAGACCAATCTCCATACATATTTAAATACTATTAGATACATGTTCAGGAAAATCTGGAACTAAGTTACTTGGTCACATTAGCCAACTATCTGAAAATAAAATATTTGCAAGCTAACAGGTATGTCCGATTGGTTTGCCTCTGTCTTTGTTCAAATTTGAACATCTGGGGTATTTTAACCTAATGTATCCCTATACGGAAGAGGAACAACGATGTTCTTATGGGTTTCATCTTCATAAAAGTGGCTGAAAATTGATGTTGGCTCGCCAAGCCCATCACAACCCTCCTCCTTTATCACAAACCGGATACTAACTACTTTATCTACTGGAATCAAATACGATCACTAAATTCCGTAAAGCATACGGTTAACCATGCCTGTGGCACAGCTTTTCAAGAAACAATAAAAATGCATATTTTAGTATTCATTAGCAATCACTGTCCCAGAACAATAACAAAGTTCAGCATCTTGAGTTGCTTACTCTATCGGTTTCCTTGCTAACCGTGCCTGCCATCACCTCTATCATGTTTAATTATTCCCAAGGATGGCAAGTTGTCTAGTTCGTAAAAATGATTCCAGTGGTGAATGGTGACAGATAGTATGCTATATATAATACGACGGTAACATTTTTTTATATACTGAAGATGCTCCCTGCTGCCTTCCTTCAACTGCTCACTTGTCTTGTTCTCCGAAGTTTAGATTAATACGTAAATCTTAAGGGTTGGTAATAACAATTATTGGGTTGGTAAGAGAAGCAAAAGCGATGCTAACCAGCCAGAAGGTGTGTATGTAAGTCCAATGGGCATGTGGATTCCTCCCTTTCTCACAAACACACGAGGCCTGCAAGAGCTCTGGCTGCTGCTTGTTGGCTTCAACAACCCCATTCTCACCAAGCGATGGCACTGTTTTGGTGATTTCAGATCCTGAAGCGCACAAGGAGGAGCTCTCACCAAATCCTTCTGGATCTGCATCGACTACAAGCCAGGTGCGTTCCCCATAATTTGGGTAGCTAGGTCGATGTCAATATCCTAGGGTAGCTAGGTCGATGTCAAAATAAGCAGTTTTCATTGTCATCACAACCCCAGGTATGATGGTGGTTCCCTAGTTTTGACGTCCAATTCAAGTTGAATATCAAATCCGTCCTCAACAAGTTGGTAGCACACTCTCAGTCATACCCAATTACCCATGGCTCCATGAGGGTTCAGGATCTCCACTGTTAAGCTTCAATTACCATCAGGCCATCCAAGCGATCGATGAGGTCTCTCTATTTCGAGATTGTTGTAGTGGCCTCATATTAAGAAGTGCACACGGTGGTCTAACCTGTTACGAGCCAGGTGTGTGGTCCTTCTCTAGTTTTCTTGCTATCTTAGGTTGTAACCACAAGAGCACGCATTGACTTGACTTGCAGGTTCACTGGCTGGCTCTTGAGATGGCCTCATCAGCAACAAGATTAGCATTCCCCACTCTCACCAAGCCATGACTCTGTTTTGATGATTTCAGATACTGAAGCTCACAATGAGGAAGTCAGTACAGGTCCATATCTAGCAGGATCAACATCGATTACAAGCCAGGTTCGCTGCCCTTAATTTGGTTTTGTTCCTGATGAGGATCCATCAGATTGTTTGGACGGTTTCAGATTCAGAAACGCACAAGGAGGTCACCAACATCAGTCAGATCTAAGACATTTCGAGGCAGGTGTGTTCTCCTTCCTAATTTTCTGGCATCTCAGGTTGTAGCAAGAACAATATATCCCCCTTGGTGCAAACAGGAAAAACTCCTGATGTATCTTTTCAAGTTAGCATGCCTAGTATACTCTCTGACTTAATGCATTGCCATTTCTTCCAGCTTCCTAAGCACAATAAAGATTTCTCCTGGAAGGCCGATCTTCTTAATTTGTGACAACACCAAGGCCTGGCGAGCCTGAAGGTATGTTCAGGTTTTAGTTGCCATCCATCATTTCCCCTGGATTCAGAAATAATCTGGAATTAATATGTATGTAGTGTTGTTGATGCACGTTGCTGAGACAAACTTAGCACATGACGAGCATCTTCTCTTGCACTTAACTTAAAATAATGTGAGAACTTTGGTCTCCTAAAGTCACCATACTTCTTGCGTGAGGATCGCCTAAAGTGAAATTGACTGACTCCTTTTATCTAAAGTCGTTTTAGTTACAGCAAAATTTATTGGTTTCCCCTAATTAAAGACCCCTATGCATCACAGCCTTGTTTTCTCATTCATTTTCTTTTCTTTTTTTGCGAGTGGTCTCATTCACTTTCTTGATTGGGATAAGTCTATCTTGCAGCTTAATCAACAGCTACCTATTTGTTTCTCCATGCATCTGGAGATACTAATAGATGGAGGTTTAGAAAAATGTGGAACCAAGTAAACCTGGAACTGTCACATTAACCAACTCTCGGAAATTAGAATATTCATATTGGTAAGCTGAGCAGGCCTTGCAACTTTGCAAGTAGATTGGTTCGCACTGTCTTAGTTGGTTAAAATTTCAATATTCTGTGCATTTTTACTTGCTTTGCCCCTTAGGGAAGCAGAGCATGCACTGTTAGTTATTTGGTCAAGTTCACTCGTTCTTGTCAGCTAAATAACACGAAGTTTGCTTCCATTGACTATAGCACAATGTGTTTTGAAATTCTCACATACATGCATGTTGCAATAACGATTTTATTTGCTTATTTGTGTTAGAGTTAGATAGGTTAACAGTATGAAATAATACTGTAAGAGGATTACTTTCAAAGTTCTTCTGAATTAACTTCTCTCTTGTGGTTGGAGAGTTTTGGCAAGTGCTTGCTACTAGCACAATGCACCAACAGTTTTGATTTAATTAAACAACTGTAGCTATTTGCTCCATGCATCTGGAAATATTTTTTGATAGATATTGAGAAAGTTACTTGTCACAGTCACATTAGCCAGCTATTTGAAAGTAGAATATTCATATCGGGTGAGCTAGCATGTATATCATATATCTTTCCTCTTTGACTTGCTCCGATCAAATTTAAACATTTGGGCCATTTTATGCTGAGCCACCCCTGTACGGAAGAGCATGTACGACCGGCCATTTGGTTCATTGTCACTTGTCGTGGTCAGTTAATAACATTAAGTTTGTTGCAGTGGACTATTGCACAGTCCCAAGTGTTTTAAATTTCTCATTGACCTGCCTGTTCTAAGTACATCTTTGCTTGATTGTGTGGGTTAGAGTTAGATAGATTTTTGCGGGTAAAAGTTAGATAGGTTAACAACAACTAATAAGAGTTTGGGAGAAATTATGGAAAATGTTCTGCTTATTAAACTTTTTCATTGTGGTTGGGGAGTTTTGAAGTGTTTAGGCAAATGATTGGTAATAGCAGAATGCACTAATGGTTTAATTAATACATCACTGATCACTCATTTCATTTTGCAGTGGCTATTCTATTGATATTGAGAAGTGTACAACTAGGCGACCACCCAATAATTCTCAGAAAGTAATGGCGGAGATTGTGATTCTACTAGCCATTAAGAAGATCGGCATTGCCTTGGCAAATGGAGTAGTAAACCAAGCAGGCACGCAACTTGCAAAGTATGGGACACAACTATTAGAGCTACAAGCCAGCATGAATCGTCTTGTGAGGGAGCTTAGTGTAATGCATGATGTTCTCTGTCAAATGGACATACGAAACCAAAACAATGAAATATATGAGAGCTGGTTGGAGGGGGTGCGAAAGGTAGCACACGATATGGAGGACATGGTGGATGAGTACTTGTATCTAGTTGGTCAGGAGCATGATATAGGGTGTTGCTTTTACCTGAAGAAAGGATTCCGCAAACCAAGCTCTCTTGTTTCATTGAACCGGATAGCTTTCAAGGTGAAGCAAATAGAGGAAGACCTTACACATCTGGCAGAGATAAAAAACCGTTGGGTTACCCAGATAAACAATGAGGATACTAACAACTCGAACTACATTGTCAGGAGGGCCCAAGATCAAGCAAACATGGCACGTTCCCTTGATGATCAAGATCTAGTGGGGGTTTATGAAAACAGAGAAAAACTTGAGAAGTGGTTGGCAAATGATGATTTCGGACACTCTGTGATAGCGCTGCTTGGAATGGGAGGGCTTGGTAAAACAGCTTTGGCTGCAAATGTCTACAAGAAGGAGAGGGAGAAATTCCAATGCCATGCCTGGGTTTCTATCTCCCAAACATTTTCAAAAGAAGATGTCTTGAGGAACATAATCAAGGAACTTATGAAAGATAAAGTCAGTGGTCTATCTTACACTGCAGATATGGACATCACATGCCTTGAAGAGACACTGAAGAGATTTCTGGAGCAACAGAAGTATTTGATTGTATTGGATGATGTTTGGACTCCAGAATTATTTGATGACTTGTCTAGTGTGCTTACTCGTAACGATAAGGGCAGTAGACTGATAATTACAACAAGGGAAGCCCGTGTTGCAGCACATGCCTCTCAAGGGCATATCTTAACATTGGAAGCTTTAGAAAAAGATAAGGCATGGGATCTCTTTTGTAAGAAAGCCTTCTCAAGAGATACAAATCATGAATGTCCGACGGAGTTGAAGCTTTTGTCTGAGGAAATAGTTAACAAGTGCAAAGGCTTGCCTCTTGTCATTGTGTTAATTGGTAGCCTCTTGCGTGTGCGTGAGAAAACTGTTGAAGAATGGAGAAGAATAAATGTCCAATTGAGTTGGGAGCTAATTAATAACTCAAGCCTCCGTGACATAAGGAATGTTTTGTATCTGAGCTTCATATACCTTCCAACACGCTTGAAAGGTTGTTTCTTATACTGCAGCTTATTTCCGGAAGACTATCTTTTCAAAAGGAAACAACTTGTACGGTTATTCATCGCTGAGGGGTTCATTGAGGAGAGGGGTGAAAGCACACTAGAAGAAGTGGCAGAAGGCTATCTGAAGGAGTTGATTGATAGAAACATGCTACAACTTGTTGAGAGGAACACTTTTGGCAGGATGAAAGGATTCAGAATGCATGACATCTTACGTGAATTGGCAGTTGATTTGTGCCAGAAGAACTGTTTTGGTGTTACATATGAGAATAAATGTGGGGGGTCTCATCAGAAGGATGGACGTCGATTGGTACTGCACAAACTAAAAAGTGATAGTCAGCAACCATTTTCCAATATGCACCAACTTCGAACTGTCATTACACTGGGTGTTAGCAAGTCATCATTCACTGTACTACCTCTGTTGTGTAATGAGTCAAGATATATGACAGTGCTAGAATTAAGTGGTTTACCCATCGAGAAGATTCCAGAGGCTATTGGAGATCTTTTTAATCTCCGGCATTTGGGTTTGAGTCATACAAAAGTGAAGAAGCTCCCGAATTCTGTTGAGAAGCTTTCAAATTTGTTGACATTGGACCTTGGTGGTTCTGACATACATGACTTGCCTAGTGGGATTGTGAAACTGAAGAAGCTTAGGCACTTATTTGCTGAGAGAGTAACTAATCCACAAGGGAAAGAATTTAAATGTCGCAGTGGTATGCGTATCCCCAGTGGTCTTGGAAATCTGACAAGCCTGCAGACGTTACAAGCATTAGAAGCACAAGATGAGTCTATTAGACATTTAGGGGAGCTGAGGCAACTAAGAAGCTTGAGGTTACTGAATGTGAAGGGAATCTACTGTGGACGGATCAATGAGTCTCTAGTTGAGATGCAGCATTTGTCATACCTACATGTGAGTTCAAGTGATGAGAATGAGGTTCTCCTGTTGAATGTCTGCTTGCCAAACCTACAAAAGCTAAGTTTGAGAGGCCGACTAGCGGAAGGAGCGTTGGACGAGTCTCCTCTCTTCCAAGCTGTTGGGGGGCATAGCTTGCATATGTTGTCTCTCCGTTGGTCACAACTGAGTGAAGACCCCCTGCCACCCCTTTCTCGGTTGTCAAACTTGACGAATCTACAATTCAGCAGAGCATACAATGGAGAGCAGCTGACATTTCTCACAGGGTGGTTTCCCAAGCTAAAGGTTCTCGAACTAAGGGACCTGCCTAATCTGAAACGACTAGAGGCACAGCAAGGTGCCATGGTGAGCCTGGAGCAAATCATCTTAGTCAACCTTAGCAGCATGACAGAGGTCCCATCTGGCATTGAGTTCCTCTTGCCCCTCCCATATCTAGCCTTCCTGGAAATCACCAATGACTTCTTGACGGTGCTGTGCCAATGTTCTGTACTTGAAGGGCAGCGGTCGCACTATTCTCTCCGAGATTGACCTGCCACACTGGCCAGGAAATGTGTAGGTACGTAAGCTACACACTAATCTGACAACTAGCCAGTACCAGTACTTCCTCATCTCTAATCTTTCTAGATTTAAGATGTTGACGGTGATATGGTGTTGGTCATGCAGGTCGCCGGCCGGAATGGGGATGCTTCATTGTTTGGGCCACATGCGTATTAGATTCATGTTGTTGCGTATGATGGGGGTGAATGCATCTGAAGGTGCATTATATTCGTGTTGCTGCTGCTGATATACCACTATACCTCCGTCCACCTACATCTCCTCTGCTTTTATGAGACGTGCTGTCATTAAATAAAAACGATGCTTGCTGTAAGGCTCCGAGCAAGCTGTATTTCCATATTCAGACTTATTTCTTTCCGTGTTGTTTGTTTTCCGAATTAAGGAGCTCTCCGCTCAGCCTCAAGGATTCCAGTAGATTGGAGTGACCCTACTGACATATATGCAACCAGAATATGAGCTGTTATCAAGTCAAAGATCTATCTATAAGCCCACATCTGTTGACCTTTTGACTGACCAACTGAAAACTCAAAACCAAAATATGGTTAACATTCTCAGGTCGATAAAAAAAAGGACAGGGCTATTGGGGCCTACGTGAGTTGAAATTATCCTTTGTTAGAGGTCTGTTATTGAAAAGGATCCACAGAAGAAAAATACGCATCCAGGGACTCATAAGATGCCAAATGTGTGGTGAATGCACATGGATAAACAATCTCACCATCACCAAATGCGGCCTACTGCTCAGTTGCAACCAGAATATATACGCAATACCAGACTTGACCTTTTTTGTTTTGTCAGTGGACGCAACACCAAATCAAATGAACAAAACAATTTCATATTAGCTAAAATCGGAGCCAACAACTCAAGATGGCCATGGTAGGCCGAGTTCACGGATACAAAGTTCAAATTCTCATCCACATGTTTCGAGGCTTCGAGTAACTGAGAAAGGGCACATAAATCTGCATTTGGCGACTTCGCTAGCAGGCAACTTCGCTGGCTGGCTAACCTCTTTGTCGCCCGCACCATTGAAATATACATCAGACCAGAACTGAAATGCAAAAAAGTAAAACCTTTTTTGTAGGAACAGAGCATGCAGTTATAATGCAGGCCGGTACAGGGATCGCTTGTTTTTGTTTTTCCTAGACCACGGTCCAATTGGTCCAGGTTTAGATTTATTAAAAACCACAATGCTTAAACTGCAGGAGGCTCCAGCTTTTACAACGCAAGAAGCAACCACACCACAACGACCACGGTCATCTTCGCAGCGCCCTGTTGCCGCCGGCTGCTCCTCGCCTCCCCAAGCACCCGCCCCCAGCTCCTTCACCGGGGTTGCAGAAGTGCTCGTGGGCCTCTGTTGTTGCCGCTTCGACTGGGCTCGTTCAAGGGTCCCCTTGTAGCAACCCCGACGAGTCGACCTTGGCTACTGATTTGGGGCTGCTGAAGCCCCTCTTTGCAGCTCAGACCAAGGCGCTACGCAACGAATTGCAGGCTCTGGTTACCGCTCGTGTGGAGGAGATCATTCAACCCCTCCGCGACATGGCCGTTGCTCTGCAAGGTTGGGCGGCCCAGGTCTCGGGCCTCTTGGAGCGGCTGGAGGCTATCAGTGGCAAAGTGGTTGATTTGCCGGCCTTCAATCAGTCTCCTGAGGAGCGAGAGGGAGGGAATTTGGGGAACGGTGCCCTTTGTTGTCGCCGATGATGTTCTTCCTGCTATGGATGTAGCTCTACACGAGATGGTATGTCAAGGTGAGGAGGAGCAAGCTAAGGTTGCTGAGATAGTCACATCAAGCAATGATTTGGAGCATTTTGAGGAGGCCTTACCTGATGGTTTGGTTGGAGAGGTGCCTCCCTTTGTCTCCTCTTCGGTGACGTTTGCTTCAGGGGGCACTACCAATATGGTGTCTTCTGGGTCCAAGGAGCCACTTGGTGATATTGGTGTGTCATCAACCACCTTGTTGGATGAGTTTCTAAGAGGTTTCAGTTGCGCAGCGCCGCGGTCCTTGCTCGAAGAACCGATTCATGTGCAGATTGACGGGGCATCTACTTGTTCCGAGAGGCGTAGTCGACGTTTGGAGAAGAAGAACAGGAGCTGCAACATTCCTACTGCCAAGCGCGCTGAATATAGGTTGGCGGAGGCTTATGGGGAACTCCCGAAGGGGATGGCATCTAAGAAAGGCTCCGAGGAGGATGTGCAAGAGAAGATGAACTCTTATCTTCGGATGTACACGAAACCACCTACGCCGACTGCGATCCAGGCAATTCGTGCATTGGTGGAGGCCAATGGTTGATCTCATGTTTCAAAAGGTTAGGTGCGAGTTCACTTCTAGTTGCAGGCCTGTTCTTGAGGTTGCAGTGGTTGTCTTGGTCGGGTATGCTGTGTTGACGGTGGTCTTGGGCCTCGGCACCCTTGTATCTGGCTCGGACGACGTCCCTTGAGTGCTAGTCCGGTGTGTGTGGTCTTCGCCGGTTTCCCTTAATTAACCGATGCATGTATGGTTTTTGGGTCCGGTTTCCCTTATTAACCGGACCAACTCTCTTCTTCTATATGCAAATGTGGGAGCTCCCCGCCCTCTGATGAGGTTTCCTCAAAAAAAAATATCTAGATATATGGAGCAAATAGCTACAGTTTTTAAATTAAATCAAAATGTTAGTGCATTGTGCTAGTAGCAAGCACTTGCCAAAACTCTCCAACCACAATAGAAAATTTAATTTAGGAGAACCTTTCAAAGTAATCCTCCTAAAATATTACCCCGTTCACAAATATAAGAAGTACTTCATCCGCTCACAAATATAAGAACTTTTCGATATTTCAATATGGACTACATACAGACTGAAATGAGTGAATAAACACACTAACACATGTCTATGTACATCCACTCCACAAAAAGATTAGAACATCATATACTATTTGTGAACAGAGAAAGTATTTCATACCGTTAACCTATCTAACTCTAACTCACATAATCTAACAAAACTGTTCTTACAACAGGCATGTCCGTGAGAATTTTAAAACAATTAGCACTGTACTATAGTCACCGGAAGCAAACTCAATGTTGTTAGCTGGCCAGAACGAGTGAACTTAGCAAATACCTGACCATGACATATCAAGTTCAAATGCACCAAATATTGAAATTTGAAGCAGGTAAGACAGTGGGAATCAATCTACTTGTCAGGCCAGCTTGCCAATATGAATATTATACTTTCACAAAGTTGTCTAGTAGTGTGACAGTTCCATTCTTTCCAGATGTACGAAGAAACAAATAGCTAGACCTGTTGATTAAGTTGCAATAAAGAGAGATGTATCGGATAAAAAATGAATAGGAAAGCAAAGCTATAATGTCATAGGGGTCATTAGAGAAATCAATAAACCGTAACGAAAATGAGACTTTACTTGGGAGAGTAATCCTGTCTGCATTGAGTTCAGTTAACAGGTGTGTAAGTGTACATGAAGACGAGGCTCTGGCTTGTTTAGAAGGGGTGCATACGATTGTAAGCGACTGCAGTTTGGTAGTTAACGCCTCGGTCTGCCAAGAGAAGAATCTTTTCGTGATCGGCTTCATTATAAAGGAAACAAGGCTGTTACTGTAGGAGTTGCTCGAATTCAGAGTTGAGAAGATTCATCGCCACATAAACAGGGAAGCTCATGAGCTAGGACAGTATGATAGGAGGTGTTGTGTGTCTTGCAGGGCTTGGTTCCAACATGTGTGCTGGCCGAAGTTTTGGATGATTCTAATCCAAACTGTATTTTGTAACTAATACACAACACCAGGTTCAAAGAAAAGCAAGAATGTTGACTTTATTAAGAGGATAGAAATCGCCACATCGTGGTAACAACAATGAAAGAGCATATGCCCATGCTGTGCTAACTGCTAAGTCACTAGTAACGGGCCTTCTGAACAACTATGCTACGTACAGAGTAATTCCAGGTTATTTGTGAATCCAAGGGAAATAATGGACGGCAACTAAAACTTGAACATACCTTCCCGCTCGCCAGACCTTGGTGTCGACACAAATTAACAACCCCATCCTCTTCCAGGAGAAATATTTATTGTGCTTACGAAGCTGGAAGAAATGACAATGCATTAGTCACAAAGTATACTAGGATTGCTGACTTAAAAAAAACAGCAGGAGCCTTTTATGTTTGCACGCCAAGGGAGAATGTTCCTAATACAACCTAAGATAGCCAAAAAAATTAGGAAGGACAACACACTTGCCTCAAAATGGCTTAGATCTGATCGATGCCGGTGACCTCCTTGTGCATTTCTGAATCTGAAACCATCGGAATAGTAATCTCATGGATCCTCACAAAACCTTATGGAGTCATGGCTGTGGCTGAGATGTGCAAGCTTGTTGCTGATGACAAGTAGCTGGATCTGATCTTCAACTTGAGGTGTCCTCCTTGTTCCTTTTACCAGTTATTACGAGAGAACAACCACCATATCTGGCTAGTAAGGGCAAGGAAAACTGTTCATTTCTGCTACCCAGGAGCAAAACCAAATTAAGGGCAACGAACCTGACCTGTAACCGATGTAAATCTGGTCTGATCTCGGCCTGTGGTGACCTCCTCCTTGTACGCTTCAGGATCTAAAACGACCAAAACAGTGCCTCGAAATGACTTTGTGCATCGACTTAGCTACAACCAAACCTTGTGAGAGCAGAGAATGCAAGCTAGTCCTGTTGAAGCCATCTCAACAAGCATCCATCTGAAGCTCCGAGTCAAGTCAATGCTAGCCTTCTCGTGGTTGCTGAAGCTCAATTATTTTCTGACACGCTGCACGTTATTTCAAACCAATGTGCATGTGTGAACGTGCACATCCAGCTACTTCCAACGTTTCATGGGCCCCATGCATTAAAGGTGCTTCATAGGTCTCTGGGCCCATGTGCAACCAAGTACTCCTGCTTCAGTGTCCTGCTTTGGAGCACAGCCATATAAGACTAGCCACAATGGAGAGTAACATACAGTAATAACATACACAT